CTGGGAATTTAAGGACATATTTTCAATGAGGGCCCTGGCAGCAGCTGGAGTTTTGTCAACAAGTGCTCCACCACTAGCAGCATCAAGAATGTTTCTATCCATAGGTAACAACCCCTCATAAAAGTACTGAATGAGAAGTTGCTCGGTAATCTGATGTTGAGGGCAGCTTGAAACTAACTTCTTGAACCTATCCCAATACTCAGCCAATGACTCGTTATCTTGTCTAATGCCACAAATCTCCTTTCGGATTGAAGCAGCTCTAGAGGCAGGAAAATATCTCTCCAAGAACACTCTTTTCAGAGCATTCCAGCTTGCGATTGAATTCGGTTCGAGATCATATATCCAATCCTTCGCTGCACCCTGCAAAGAAAAAGGAAAAGCACGAAGTTTGATATGATCTTCAGTGATCCCTTCAGGCTTCAATGGTGTAGAGCACACCACCTGGAATTCCTTCAAATGTTTATGCGGATCCTCACCTACAAGACCATTAAACTTTGGCAACAAGTGTATTAAACCCGATTTTAATTCAAAAGGAACAGCAACAGCATCATATTCAATACACAAGCCATTATAATTCACATCAGGGGCTGCAAGTTGTCTTAAAGTTCTATTGTCAGCCATTTCAAAAAAAAATTCAGAATCAGAAGCAAACAAGTTATGCAAATAGTCGGACTCAGAATCAGACTCAACTATGGTCGGTGAAGGTGAACTATTGCTAGCCTGGCCTGCTCTACGAAGTGTGTGCAAGGTTCTTTCTACCTCAGGATCAAAAGCAACAAGTTCAGGACAAGAGGACCTAGTAGCCAGGACTAGTGCACAGCAATGCAGCAACAATCGTGAAAATGCCAACTATGTCCCTAAATAGCAAAAACAAACACAAAGAAAGAAAACGATTAAATTTTTTTCAAAAAAATAAACTGAACACGAAATTCATCTAATGGGTGAAAAATAGAATTTTGATAATTTTTTCGAATTTTTTCGACTCTATGAAATCAGTAAATAAATCATTAAAAATAGAAAAATGATGAATTTGGGAAATTGAGACCAAAGTCCCATAACTACTTTGTAGTATGGGACAAATGATCAGTGAATTTTTTCCCCTCCACTGGTCGAAACAGATTTCAAATCGGATTCAATTTTCAAAAAAACCGAATTTTTTACTACTATGACGCAAAAAACGCGAATTGGCTTAAACCGAAGGAAATCTAGAACCTAGGCACGAAAACACTAAACCTATGACTCTAAAATTGGTTAATAAAATCAAGAATCCCCGGCAACGGCGCCAATTTGATCCGCTGTCGCGCGCGGGTCAAAAACGAGTTAAATTGCAAATTGTAGTAACGACGGTAACGGTAACTCGAGTATCGTCTCTCAAGGACTCTTGGGTTTTACTAACTAAAATCGAAATTGGGGGGTTGTTTGGTTCGAGTTTAGGCAAATAAGCTAATTATAAAAAGTGATTATAAAATAAGCTGTTTGGAAATAAGTGATTATAGAATAAGTCGATCTACTGTTTTGGGTTCCTACTATCATCGATTATTATAATTCTAATACCCGAAGCGGATTGTCTATTCCTATTTGGGTACAAACTCAATGACAAGCGCGGTGAAGTTTGTGAGATGTACGATCCTATTGTCCGAATTAAGCAAACGGGATAAGTTTTCATGAATTAAGCAAACATGACTGATCAGACACAACAACGGATTAAGCAAACGTGATGAGTCTATGTTAGGATCATACAATCAACCAAATTGAATCAATATATTTTATGCAATCGAATTAAGCATACAATAACACAAAATATCATTGAAAGGAATTAAACTTAAATTAACATTATAATAATCTCAAGTATTGGAACCTGAATTATAGTAGATCAACCCAAAGGAATTAGTTCTCCATAGTCATTCGTCCTAGCTTTTCCAAATCGTCAATGGAATTTCGTGAACAGTGAATTCGAATGGAATGCTACAGTACCACGGCTGCTACCCTAAGGGGAAAGAGAGCGACCCGTTTTACAACCCAACTGGGTCAAACAAACGACCCAGGCCCAAAACTAATTGACCCGAAACTTAACTAAAACTAGTGCTGCAACTTCAACAATTTTTTCAACCTTGCTACAGTCCGAATTGGCTCTCGACTTCTTCATGAAAGTTGTAGGTCTTTTTCTTAGCTTTCCAACCAATATTAGAACGCCTCAATCCGAGTCCTGTAGCTCCAGTTATGAATTTTTTATTGAAAGCTGCACATGCTGAAAAATAAAATACGAAAATTAATTAAATGCAAAAATAAGATAAATTAGCAAAACAATTTAAAACATAAAAATAAACACAATAAACTAAAGAAATGCATTAATACAATCGTGGAAAGATGTGCATCAAAATGCACTGATCAAGCATACATAACATACTCTAATGAGCATACATAACATATTCTAATACAACAAGCTTCCCAACAAACAAGTCTATAAAGGGGTGAAGTACGATCATATGTTCTCCTTAAATATTATTCTAAGTGTTTGTGTTTTAACATGTAAACTATTCCTTTTATCTGAGCTATTTTGGGATCTATGTGCTATGTGTTATGTGTTTATCTCTTTTTTGATAATGTTAATAGGAGAAAAGTATCACTCTCAAAAGGAGTAGAGTATACTCTCTTTTAATGTGAGAAGAAGTTTAACCACTCTAATATTTATCTATCTGATTATGCTTTTACCACTTCTTTGAGAGATGTGTTATCATCATAAAAAAGAAGATGTGTGGATTTATGTACTTGCAGGTACAATTAACTGCAACTGTTGTTTAATCGTGTTGGTTTTGAAGATGATAACACTTTATGTCATACCAAATTCATTGAAGTCTTTACACATCAAAATGGATCAAATGGGAAAGATGTTCTTTGTGATATCAAAGGTAGAAGTCATCTCAATGATGACAACATTTTAGGTTAATGGATGTTCAATGAAGTCTTTGATGATATCTATCCAACAATCTCTGATGATGTCATCCAACCATGAAGATATCTCAAACCTGATAAATTATAATACTCAAAGTTTCATATGAAGTGTTAAGTCTATGATAATCTAGTAAAGGGATTAGAAGCTTCAGAATTATGAAAGAGATGAAGTGTGAAAACTTATCTGATCGTACACTTAGCAAGTGTCTGAGTAATCAGTTTAATGTAAAAGGTATTAAAGTAATTCTCAAAATACTAAGACAATCATACACACATACACAAAAAGTCTCTTAAAATCTCTCTATTACTTGTGTCAAAAGATGATGTAATATTTGCAAGAAACTCCATCTCAAAATTTGATTATATTAGAGTCTTTCTCTACGATTACTTTAAAATCAATAATTTAGACAAATTCAAATACCGTCTTGATATTGAAGCTATTGATTCAAAGCCAAAAATCTCCACTTACCAAAAGAATTACTATTTGGACCTCATCCCTAATGCAAGTTTTTTTTGGTTTAAAACTAGTATCCCCTACTCATTTATAATAGTGTTAAATGCACAATTCCTTTTGTAATATAGACGAGTTTCGTTTTATCCCTTTTAATTTAATTTTTTGAAATACTCTATAATATATATTTTTTGAATTATCCTCATAAATGTATAATTTTAATACTGAATCTGGGAGTAAATTAAAAAAATTACAGAAAGGTAATTTTTGTATTTAGGAGGTAAAATACTTAGTATTTTAAAATTTTAGGGGGAAGTATTTCAAAAAAATAAAATTAAAGGGGTAAATTGAAATTCGTCTATATTACGGAAGAAATTGTGCATTTAACCCTTTATAATATTACAAAAAGATTTCCGTACACTATTTAATAACATCTCTTTCTACATACTAAGGCTTATTGGCCACATTTTGCTACCTGACCACACAATTAGGCTTTTTTTTTAATAGACAACAAAACTATTAAAAAAGAATATAAGAGATACTCCGCTCAAAATACAAACAGAAAACCCCTATCTCTTAAAACAAAGAAGAGGTAGAATATTTCGCGCAACAAAGTTACTAAAGTCCGCTATTTTACAACTTAAGCATAACCATTTCCACTATCTATAAGTAATCGCCCACAAACACTCAACAAAACTATAAACCTCTCTCTTAAATATGACGGCATTCCTCATCAACCATAAACTCCAAATCGTCGCCAGCCAAATTTCCACCTACATCACCCAATAGCTAAGTCAGTTTCTCAACAACCCCACCATCATTCATCATAAAGTTGGCCCATAATAAGTGCATAATTAATCAATTCTATAGCAAAAAACGTGAATAACCAAATCTTTTAGTCAAAGTGCTTATCATTGACTAAGTTAGGATTCATTACAACATTAAAGACCAACACTAGTGAGTGCTGTTAGCAGTAAGGTTTTGGGCTGCTGCTAAATGATCTATTTTCTTTAAGAAAACAGAAACTCAAATATGAAAAAAGCACATGTGGTGTTTATCCCTTCACCCTTTGTAGGCCATATAGTTTCCACTCTTGAGTTTGCCAAGCTTCTAATCAACCGTGAAAATCGTCTCTGAATAACTGTCTTGATTATGAAATTTCCACTCGCCACAGAAACTGATCTTTATACTAAATCCCTTCCCATCACAGATTCACTCAGCATCATCAACCTTCCAGAATGTTCTCTTCCTCCAAACTCCGATCCAACTTACTCCATGACCGCTCTCCTCGAAGCTCAGAAGCCCAAACGTCAAACAAGTCGTCTCTAAACTCATTACTGAACGAGGCGAAAATGGAGTCCTCGCTACTTTGTTGACATGTTCTGCACCGCCATGATTGATGTTGCTAAAGAATGACTTGTTTTCATCCAACAAGCATTGGCTAAATTCCTATTAGATCATTGGAAGGAACAAGAGGGACTTATTTTATGAAAAATTCAACTAGGAGTGCATTTCAGTTTTCAGGCCCTTGGATGAGGAACCAGTGATTGTGAACAACCAAAGAGGTAAGAAGGAGCTTTGAGGGAGGTTACAGCTTATGTATCAGATCATGGAAGGGAGGGTAAGAAATCAGGATTTTTGGCTTTCCTCTTACTATTGTGGTGTGGTGATTACACCAAGATTTCACCACCCAAATGTGTACACTTTCTCATCAAAACACATCAAGATCAGGTCGTTACACATTAATAGAAATGGAAATTGTGAGGACATTGATGGTTTGCAAGCTTGGTTGAACTCCTCCAGCCTCGCAACAGTATTAAGCTAAAAGCGTGTTGTGAACCCGATGTCATTTCATTCATAGCTCATAAGTAACAATCATGATAAATCAGGGATGCATGAGACGACAATTAAATGATCGTTATGGCTGTTAGTCAAGAGTTTTGTAAGCCTGTTAACCAAAGTATATTAGTGAAAGTGATTAATCCTTATTACAATTATTAATGCTGATAAGTAACCCAATAGCAACCGAACTTTTGGATATTGGTATTAAGATAATATAATTTCACACCTGATTCATAATATAATCAATTAAGTTACTTAAATAAGAGTAGGAAGATCCACCCTCTAACAAAGTCTTCTTACTCTTTTTGCTCATCTCTTTCACATTCTTCCTTACCGCTCCATTTTTATCCAACACACTCTTTATTCCTCTCTCAATCTTTTCTGCAGTTACAACATAGTTATGATCACCATTAAATTTCACCCGATAGTCCAATGCAATTTCCACTCCCAACTTCAGCTCACACACCAATTCAAAAGCATTTATTTGTTGTTCAGCAAAAAGAGGCCAAGCGGCAATAGGCACACCAAAATATATGCTCTCTAGTATGGAATTCCATCCACAATGTGAAACAAACCCCCCTATGGCATGGTGGGCAAGTATTTGAGCTTGTGGGGTCCAACCAACGACCTTTCCAATTTCAGCTGTTCGATCTAAAAATCCTTCGGGTAAAAGTGAAACTAAATCTAAAAGCGGATAATCAGAGGGTGCGGGCATAGCACCTTTTGGCGAGGGTTTACGTAGTGACCAAATGAAACGAACTCCACTATTTTCAATAGCATGTGCTATCTCTTGGATTTGATCTTCATAGAAAGAACCCCTACTCCCGAAGCAGAGGAAAACTACCGAAGAAGGAGGTTGATCATCAAGCCATCTGATGATATCATGGGATCCAACAATTTTATCGGTTTTGAGGTCCGGGTTTAATAAGGGCCCCACTGGATAAATAGGTAAAGCTGCTAGATCAGGATGAGAGAAAAAGGATTGAACCGCATGTGATTCTAGCTCTTCAAACGAATTTACTATAATACCATTTGGTTTCTTGAGGCCTCCTGCATATCTCTTAAAAAACGACTCCCATTCCTTGTCTAGCATAAAACTAGGCAAGGAGTTTATAGGAACCGAGTTGGCAAAACTCGGAACTGCTAACTCGTTCTTATGCAGCAACTGTGTTGAATCGAAGTTGTCTCCTTCAAACAGTGTGTGCACATGAAGCATCAAACCAAGAGAAGCAACGCCGGAAGTGAAGAAGATGAGCGCAGGGACGGAAAATTCTTTAGCAACATCAATCATGGTGGTACAGAGCATGTCAACAACGAAGGCGGCGAGGGGTCCATGTTGTTCTTCTTGGGCAGTGAGGTTAAAGACGGCTTGTTTAACGTGTGGTTTTTGAGCTTCGAGCAGTACGCTCATGACGGAAGCTCGATCGGTGTTTGGAGGAAGAGAAATTTCTGGAAGGTTGATTATATGGAGTGAATCGGAGATAGGAAGGGAATCAATGTAGACATCAGCTTCTGAGGTGTTTGGGAATTTGATGACTAAAACGGTTACTCGGAGACGGTTATCACGGCTAATGAGAAGCTTGGCGAACTCAAGGGTTGAAACTAAATGGCTTATAGCAGGAAAAGGGATAAACACCACTCGTGCTTTCTTCATCTTAAGCACTTCCTCAGTGTGAGTGTGTGAGGTACTGTATTTTGAGTTGTTCTTTGACATTCCTGTGATTTTTAATTATATAGGAATAGGAATAGGCGATGTTAATTGGTGTGATGATGTCATGGCTTTGCTGGATGGAATCACCACTTTGTGGAGTGAAAGTGAAGTGAGATTTAAATTTTAAATGTTTTTGTCTTCATATCTTTAGAGAAAGAAATGATATATATGGTGGGATACATGCATGGCATTTAAGTTGTCCCATAAAAATAATGGGTAAATTAATTATATAACTTGTGTCCAATCAAAATTTGACACATGAATTCATAAACAATTCATAATAAAGATCTTCAAATTAGAAAGTCTAATTTCGAATTTGTCTTATTTGTATTTTAATCTAATAATAATTAATGCTATTTTTTATTTATTCAAGAGTCTCTCTTTATTTGTAATTTTTTTAAATTTTTTTTTTTTATATTTGATTAAATACTATATTCTTAAATAAAAAAATTGATAATCTCAACAACTGATTTTTTCCCCTCCCTTTTCTTGTTTACCTCAAATTTTATAGAAAATATTTTAGCTCCAACAAAATCATACTTCCACTAAAAAAGCTTCTATTAAAAGTGCCTTAACAAATATAAATAGAAATAAGTATTAATTTTCGTTATTGATATTATAATTTATTAATTGTAAACTTTCTTAATATTATTATCAGTACTTCCACTAAAATGCATAAAAATTTGATCATGGGAATAGTTTATCAAGAAATATCGTACGTGAATAATCAGTTGATAAACAAATATCAATGAATGGAATAAAAAAGTAAAAATTATTTAAAAATATTATAATAAAAAAATCAAACTCAAAAATTAAAATTATTATGAAATTTTGAAGTACACAAATCGTCTTTTGTTTTTGAAATAAACACAACTTTTTACGACGGTTTTGAGGTAAACTGCCATAAAAATTAGGTTGTGACGGTTGATAAAACCGCCATCCCTAAAATATACTAATTGAAGTTACACACTAGAAAAGTAAAGGGAGAAGCGGAAAAAAGCCTTTTAGGGTGGCAGTAAAATTAAAATCTGAAACATAACAAAATTGAAGCCTAGGCATCTCAAAATTGCGCCTTGGTTTAAAACGCAGCCATAAAAACCACTACAATACCGCAAAAACCGCGCACTGATATCTCTCTTTGCTCTCGTCAAGCCGCTACAAAACCGCCACACCATTAATCCCAAACCAATCTTAACAGATTAGTCTTCTCTAACCTTAAGTATAATTTTAAATCACGGTTGCGGGAGTTACGATTGCGAGCATTGCGGTTGCTGTTGTTAGTAGTTGAATAATTGATAGTTGATAAAAGATAGTTTTTGAGAATTGTTTAGATAGAATGCCATGTCATTGATTTCTTGAATGATCAATTACAAAGTACCAATTGCCTATTTATAGGCTCAAGTCACCAACTTCTCAATGGTGGTGAATGTTTCTATATTACTTTAGTTCTTTCTAGAGTTTTCATGATTGATTAGTATCATGATAGTTCTAGGTTCTTCTATATTTTCCGTACACTTATTGTTTTAGATTGTCTACCTTATTCACGCACATTATAGTTCTAGGATCTTCTATCATTTTCATACATATTATATTTAAGAATATTCTAGAAATTTGTAGCAATTTCAACACTCCTTCTTGATGCAAATTTCTATGACTCAGAGCATAGCTCGTAGCTCTATAAATCTTGGTCTCGACAACGCCTTCCTGAATATGTCTATAACTTGATGTTATGTCCTGCAGTAGTCGAGTTTGATTTCTTTAGTTGCTTCAGCTTCTCTGATAAAGTGATATTTGATTGTTATGTGTTTTGTTATGTTGTGATGCACTAGATTCTCTTCCATTGCAATTGTTGATTTGTTGTCGCATTTGATTTTAGTAGGCTCGTCTTGTTTTTCTCCCATGTCTTTAAGTATTCTACGAATCCATATAGCTTGAATCATTGCTTCACCAGCTGCCACATACTCTACTTATGTTGTTGATTGTGCAACCGTAGCTTGCTTTTTCGATGCCCAAGAGAAAATTCCTGACCCTAGTGAGAAAGCATATCCAGAGGTGCTCTTCATGTCATCTATCGAACCTGCCCAATCATTGCCGGTGTAGCCAAATAATCCTGAGTTGATTTTTGGTAGTGTACCATATATCAAACTCTTTTGTTCCTTGTAGATACCTTAAAATTCTTTTTCCTGCTCCAAAGTGTATTTGACATGGGCTTTGCATGAATCTTGATAGAAGACTTGTAGCATACATTATGTTTGGCCGTGTAGCTTCCAAATATAGAAGGCTTCCAATTAGACTTCTATAATTGGATGCATCATCTTTTGGTGCTCCATCATTCTTTTGTATTTTCTCATTTGTTATGAGTGTAGTAGCGACAAGTTTGTAGTCGTACATCTTAAATTTCTTAAGTAAGCCTTATGTGTATTTCTTTTGCAAGATGAATATCCCCTCATTTCTCTGACTTACCTCTATACCAAGGAAGTAACTCATCAAACCAAGGCCGGTCATCTCAAAGGTCTTCACCATGCCTTCTTTGAACTGCATCATCATCTTAGTATTGTTTCCCGTATAGATGAGATCATCTATATATAGAGAGAGTAAGAGAGTGTACTAACCTTGAGACTTGACATATAATATAGGCTCACCCTTGCTCCTCCTGAATCCTAGATCCATGAAATACCGATCAATTCTTCTATACCATGCTCGAGGTTCTTTCTTCAGACCATAGAGTGCTTTTCTTAGTCTTAACACATTTCTTTCTTCCCCTTCAGACATGAATCATTGTGGCTGTTTCACATAGATCTCTTCTTCAAGTATGCCATTGAGGAAGGAAAATTTGATATCTAGTTGATGGATACTCCATCCTTTTTGTGCCACAATATATATTAGAGCTCTTATGGTATCAAGACGAGCTATTGGTGCAAATGTCTCATTGTAGTCGATCTCGAGTTGTTGTGAGTAACCCATAGCTACTAGCCCTGCCTTGTGTTTCTGTATGGTGCCATCAGGGTTGAGCTTTTTCTTATAGACCCCATTAACCCTAATGATATCTTTTCCATTGGGACGATTTACTAACTCCCAAGTGTTATTTTTTCTGATCATATTTATCTCTTCCTCCATTTCCTTGACCCATACTTCTTACTTTGAAGCTTCTTCAAAGCTTCCAGGTTCAAGTATGACAAAGCTGCAAGTTTCATATATGCCCACTGTAACACGGTGGGAGAACTGACTTGGGATGTTTTCCGTTTGATCGCAATTGTTGCAGTTTAGCAAGAGTCACCACAGACTTTTCTTTTATCCAATAAGGAAAGGTTGAAAAGACCAAGAAAGACCTTTCGAGATTATTTCTTGAATTCAGGGGGTAGATTATGAAAATGGAATGTATTAGCACCCTTTTCATCCATAGTTATCTATGGGCTCTTAGTTGCTTGCTAGATCACTTGATTTTATTTGAAAGTATGCTTTGTGGTATGGTTTTGAAAGTATTTTGAAAACGTGCCTTTGTAATGATTCTCGTCTCATAAGAATGCATACATAGTGTTGTTTAGAAAATAGTTCAAAGAAGTGTTTGCGTAATGTGTTTTTGAAATTGATTTTGAAAAGGGTGTCTTTGTAATGGTTCTCATCTTTATGAGAATGCATACAAAGTGTTGTCTTTTGAAAATGTTTCAAATGAAAGTGTTGGTGTATAAAATGTTTTTGTTGAGAGCAAGCGAGCAACTAGGAACAATCTACCTACTCAAAAAGTCTTAAACGTTATTTTCCTCCTTCTTTAGATGTTGCTATCTTATCATTGATTTGGTAAGAAGCCCCATCATTGGATGTGAAGGGACGGGTGTGGGTCATTGTATAGTCATGATAGCAATGTTGTGAGATATCTTAGCATTTCTCTTGAGGGACTAAGATCATTTGTAAGGCAACATTCGAAGTGTCATCGAGGGGATATGATCTAGTATTTTGATTGTTTTTGCTAAGACATCTCACATTCATAACATGACCATTTTTTATAAGGCAACAAGTGGAATTACCCTAGGAGTGCATGTGTGAATAGTGTGTTTGATTTGCATGCATTTAGTCTTTGATTAGGGTTTATCTACTTGTTGTTTTTATCTTACCATACATCCTAATTACAAACATTTGTATAAAAGCAATAAACATGCAGAAAATAAATCCTACACTATTACAACCATATTGAATAGCAAGAAAATGTAAAGACAAAATAAAATAAAGAAAGGAAAAATGAGTGCTTCAATTTGGGCAGCATAACCCTTCGATTCTGCTCTCCCTGGTTTCTTTCGATCTGGTCTGGAAGAGGTGAAGGTGTGGCTTTCGACTGAGGCCTGGGGGTCAACATGTTATGCCTTTCGACTGGGCCTGGAATCAGTGCAAGATGCAATCTGCCTTTTTGCCTCCTTCGACTGAGGGTTGAAAGCAGTGAGGGAGTGCCTTTCGACTGGGCCTAGAAGTCAGCATGGTGTGCTTTTCGTTTGGGCCTGGAAGTTAATATGGTGTGCCTTCTGGTTTCCTCTTTCGTTTAACCTGGAGGTTAGTATGGAAGCCAGAGGCTTCGTTTACTACTTCCTGTTTCTTGTTTCTTTCGTTTGAGATGTTAAATAGCAACATGGCCTAAGGCCATGCTAGCACTGCCTTAGGGCTAGGTTAGCTCTTAAAACATTTGTAAGAAACCAAAGAGCAAAACCAAAAGGAAAGGCAATAAAACAAAACTACAAGGGTGTAAACGAAAAGAAAAACAATAGTATGTACATGCTTGAAACGAAAAACCAATGCTTTTGAATTGGTGTGCGAGTTGAAGGTAGGTGTGGATATTGTGTTAGACTATAGTGTGGAGTTTAATGAGAGTCCTAACTATTTTGTAACTGCTGATAAGATTGAGAGAGGAATAAGGAATGTGTTGGGTAAGTATGGAGAAATAAGGAAGAAAATGAAAGATATTAGTGAAAAAAGTAGGACCGCTTTGTTAAAGGGAGGATCTTCCTACTCTTATTTAGGTCGTTTGATAGATTATATTATGAATCAGGTATGAAGTTAAATTATCCTAGCGCTCAGTTGCAGTGTTCTACTGATGATGATCAAGTATGCTTTTGAAACTTTCAAAAATGAAACTTAGAAACATTAGGTCAATCTTAGATTGTTTTCCTAGAGTTGGGCTAGTTTGTAAATTTTGATTTTGTACTCAAGTTCTACTACTTTTCAATTCAAGTTTTTTGGATACAAGAGAAACAATATTAGTAAAATGACTCTGCTTCTTCTAGTCTTGATGTTTCTCACCTGATGTATGATTATTAGATTGAAATCCTCCTTACTTCAGAGGCTTTGATTAAATTATCAACCTATATAACCATGTCCATTTGTGATGAGATGGAGAAGTTATTATGCAAAAATTTCATTTAGAGGACTGTTTCTAAAATTAAGAAATTTCAACCATATTATGAAGCTTATGCCTCTAGTCTGCTTACAAGTTTACAACATACAAATAACTAGTATTTGACAAAAACAAAACTTCATTTTTAACTAATAAGCTAACTTTCATGAATTACTATCATTCCTGCCTAATCCAAGCTTACATACAGTAAGGGCAAAATTCATTACTGCAGTACACATATATAAATAAAAAACTCCTTTGAAATATTATTTTGCTGCTAGTCATACATAATTTGCATTAGATTCTAGATTTATGACATACAATTTATATCAGTTAGATAAACACAATGCAAAAGCATATTAACTGTGTAATACTAAAGCATGTTGTCAAGCAGTGTTTGGATGATGCAGAAACTGACACTATTGTAAGGCAGTCTTTGTATGTAGAAGCAAATGTCCCGGGTTCTGATATGGAAAAAAAATCAACTAGTGCAATAATCTGTTGCAGATCAGATTCACCCTCCTTTCTCGGTTGTGATGTCGCAGAAATGCCCGTTAATCATGAATGACTTGGTTTTCATCCAACAAGCATTGGCTAAATTCCTATTAGATCCTTGGAAGGAACAAGAGGGACTTATTTTATGAAAAATTCAACTGGCCAGGACATTGATGGTTTGCAAGCTTGGTTGAACTCCTCCGGCCTCGCAACAGTATTAAGCAAAAAGCGTGATGTGAACCCGATGTCATTTCATTCATAGCTCATAAGTAACAATCATGATAAATTACAGATGCATGAGACTGCAATTAAATGATCGTTATGGCTGTTAGTCAAGAGTTTTGTAAGCCTGTTAACCAAAGTATATTAGTGAAAGTGATTAATCCTTATTACAATTATTAATGCTGATAAGTAACCCAATAGCAACGGAACTTTTGGATATTGGTATTAAGATAATATAATTTCACACCTGATTCATAATATAATCAATTAAATTAGTTAAATAAGAGTAGGAAGATCCACCCTCTAACAAAGTCTTCTTACTCTTTTCGCTCATCTCTTTCACTTTCTTCCTTACTGCTCCATTTTTATCCAACACACTCTTTATTCCTCTCTCAATCTTTTCTGCAGTTACAACATAGTTATGATCACCATTAAATTTCACCCGATAGTCCAATGCAATTTCCACTCCCAACTTCAGCTCACACACCAATTCAAAAGCATTCACCTGTTGTTCCGCATAAAGAGGCCACACCGCAATAGGCACATCAAAATATATGCTTTCAAGTGTGGAATTCCATCCACAATGCGAAACAAATCCTCCTGTGGCAGGGTGGGCTAATATTTGAGCCTGTGGAGCCCAACCGATGACTTTTCCAATTTTAGTCGTCCGATCTAAGAATCCTTCGGGTAAAAGTGAATCCAAATCTGAAAGTGGATAATCAGAGGGTGCAAGTATAGACCCTTTCGGTGAAGGTTTGCGTAGAGACCACAAGAAACGAACTCCACTATTTTCAATAGCATGTGCTATCTCATGGATTTGGTCTGCATAGAAAGAACCCCTGGTCCCAAAGCAAAGGAAAACTACGGAAGAAGGAGGTTGATCATCAAGCCATTTGATGATATCATCTGAATCAGCAGTGCTCTTTGTTTTGGGTTCAGGGTTTAATAAGGGCCCCACCGGATAAATAGGTAAAGATGCTAGATCAGGATGAGAGAAAAAGGATTGAACCGCATGTGATTCTAGCTCTTCAAATGAATTTACTATAATTCCATTTGGTTTCTTGAGGCCTCCTACATAGCTCTTAAAAAACGACTCCCATTCCTTGTCTAGCATAAAACTGGGCAAGGAGTTTACAGGAACCGAGTTGGCAAAACTCGGAACTGCTAACTCGTTCTTATGTAGTAACTGAGTCGAATTGAAGTTGTCTTGTTCATACAGTGTGTGTACATGAAGCATCAAACCAAGAGAAGCAACGCCGGAAGTGAAGAAGATGAGAGCAGGGACGGAAAATTCTTTAGCAACATCAATCATGGTGGTGCAGAACATGTCAACGACGAAGGCAGCGAGGGGTCCATGTTGTTCTTGTTCGGCAGTGAGGTTAGAGACGGCTTGTTTCACATTTGGTTTTTGAGCTTCGGGGAGAGCGAACATGGCGGAAACTCGTGCTGTGTTTGGAGGAAGAGAACATTCTGGAAGGTTGACGATATGGAGAGAATCGAAGATGGGAAGGGAATCAATGTAGACATCAGGTTCAGAGGTGTTTGGGGATTTCATAACCAAAACGGTAATTCGGAGACGGTTATCACGGTTGATTAGAAGCTTTGCGAACTCAATAGTGGAAACTAAATGACTCAAACCAGAAGAAGGGATAAACACAACTTGTGCTTTCTTCATCTTGGATATGCACTTTCTCTGTGTGAGTTTGTTAGGTATTGTGTTTTGAATTGAAATTCCTATGATTTTATTTTATTTATATAGGAATAGTAATAGTGTAGAAAATTAGGATGATAATTGGTGTTGGTTGCATGTCCTTGTCGGCAATACAACCAAAATTAGTGGAATTGCAACGAGCCTTCGGTGCCACCATATTTAGCAAAGACTACTTTTAATAAATACTGTGTACAACTTTAAGGATAAATCCAAGAAGTATACTTCCAAGAAGTAAAAGTAAAAGGAATTATTATGTGAGTGATGATGTCATGGCTTTGCTGGATGGGATGACTACTTTGTGGGGGTGAAAGTGAAGCGAGGTTTATTTATTTTTTCAATAAGCTATGGTATTTATTATATGAGTATAAGGGGTCCTCAAATCCATATACAACAATTCAATTATAAAAACTCAAATTAAAGAGTTTATCCACCACTCATAGAAACTTCTATTTGCACAATTTTTTACTCCTTTCACCTAGGAGGTAGATTTTACATCATTTACTATATTTTCTAACACAAAAAATTCACCTTCAAAAAGGATCCTGATTCTCTTTGATCACAGGCACCATAATGTAACAAACCAAACCACCAATTCCTTATAAACAGTGACTTTACCTTTAATCAAATCTGCAAATTTTCTGCAGTGTGATAACGGATCTTCCTCCTCAAGAACTTGGCATGACAACCACGAAAAAAATCCTGCACCACACTTTAAGAGAGATAGGACAAAAAAAATAAATGAATAATGTCTTCTTCTTTAGGTGAGGTTGAAATTTTTGTCTTTGTATAATAATAACTAAATAAATAGAGACAAAATTTTGTCTTTGTGGGGTAAATGTGAAGGGAGGTTGATATTGAAATTAAGCATGCAAACTTCAAAGTATATAAAAAGTGAAACATATTAAAGTTGAGATATGCTGTCTTCTAGGATTGATATAAGTAATTAAGGTCATTACATCAGTAAGAAATAGAAGACATTTAGCATATATATGGATAACTTAATTTGATATTTGATTCACAATATAATCAATCAAACTACCTAAATAAACGTAAGAAGATCCTCCTTCTAACAAAGTCTTCCTACTCTTTTCACTCATATCTTTTACTTTCTTTCTGAACTCTCCCTCCTTATCCAACAATCTTCTCATTCCTCTCTCGATCTTATCAGCAGTTACAAAATAATTAGGTCCACTATTAACCTCCACCCTATAATCCAACACAATCTCCACACCCATTTTCAATTCACACACCAATTCAAAAGCATTACTTTGTTGTTCAGCATATAGCGGCCACGTAGCAATAGGCACGCCAAAATATATACTCTCCAGCGTTGAATTCCAACCACAATGTGAAACGAACCCTCCTATGGCTCCATGAGCTAGTATTTGAGCTTGTGGGGCCCATCCAATGACCATCCCAATCTCTCTCGTCCGATCTAAAAAGCCTTCAGGTAAAACCAAATTCAAGTCAGAAAGGGGATAATCAGAGGGCGAAGCCATTGTGCCCTTCAATGGTGGTTTACGTAGAGACCATACGAAGCGGGCTCCACTGTTCTCAATAGCAATTGCGATCTCCTTAACCTGGTCATCATCAAAAGAACCTCTACTCCCGAAGCAGAGGAAAACTACCGAAGAAGGAGGTTGATCATCCAGCCATTTGAGGATATCATGAGAATCAATTATGTCCTTACTTTTCGGTTCAGGATTTAATATAGGTCCCACCGGATATACTGGTAAACCAGAAAAATCAGGATGAGATAAAAACGATTGAACCGCATAGGATTCAAGCTCTTCAAATGAATTTACTATAATACCATCAGCATTCTTTAGACCTTTGGCATAGCTCATGAAAAACCACTCCCATTTCTTGCGTAGAACAATAGTAGGCAACGATTTTGTAGGAACCAAGTTGGCGAAACTCGGGATAGCTAACTCAGTGAGCTCCAGCAACTGATCCGAATCTACGTTGTCTTGTTCACGGAGAGTATGAAGATGAAGCACCAAACCAAGGAAAGAAACACCCGAAGTGTAGAAGACGAGTGTAGGGACGGAGAATTCTTTGGCAACATCAATCATGGTGGTGCAGAACATGTCAACAACGAAAGCAGCAAGGACTCCGTTTTCGCCTCGTTCAGTAGTGAGGCTAGTGACGGCTTGTTTGACGTTTGGTTTCTGAGCTTCGAGGAGAGCGGTCATGGAGGAAGTTATATTGGAGGTTGAGGGAAGAGAACATTCTGGAAGGTTGATGACTTGGAGTGAATCGGAGATGGGAAGTGATTTAGTGTAAACATCAGTTTCTGTGGTGTGTGGGAAATTCATCACCAGCATGGTTACGCGGAGACGGTTATCACGGTTGATTAGAAGTTTCGCCGAACTCAAGGGTGGAAACAAAATGGCCTACACCAGGAGAAGGGATAAAAATCACCTCTGCTTTCTTCATGTTGGAGCACAGGTTATACACTTATTTTATGAAAGTGACTCAGTTTTGAAATGTAGAGAATTAGTATCATCTATGATTTATATACATAAGGTGAGATTGAAATGTTTGTAAAATGGATGGTGGGTTGTAATTGGTTATTTAGTGCTTACTATTATCATGTGATTCATGTATTTAGTGCTTACTATTATCGGTGACGACTCTTGCTAACCGCAATATTTGCGACAAAACGCAAAACTTCAAGTCAGTTCTCCCACCGTATCACAGAATTGGCGACTCTGCTGTGGAATTTATTAAAGTGGGGTTACCTTAGGGTTTAGATCATATTTATTTGCTTACCTTGTTTGACTTGTTTGCTTTACAATTATGGTTCTTTGTTTGGGTTCAAATCCTCCACCCGAATTTGGGAAATATTATAGGTAAATAGCAATACGTTGTGGAAACTGTGCGGGGTATACCGACATGGTTTAAACAATAGCTATGTTAGTGTGACATATTTGTGGGTACCGGTAGCCTTTGAGTCAATCAAAGAGAATATGGGGCCGCTGAGTGATGTCATGAAGCATTAATGAACTTCTAGAACCCTTTACTTGACCAACTTGGCCTTTAGGACGTAGTGAGATGATCGGCTTTGGTGCAGTCCAAAGTTGGTAGATACTCGATACTACACTCATTGAGGTTTGGTTTCTTGGGATATTTCGGTCGCCATTAAAGAGGCTTGAGCTGAAACAATGAACAAGGAAACAATCCAATTATATTGAGCTCCTTAGGACCCGATTACTATTTTTAGGACAGGTTGAGCCAACTAAACTTCAAGAGGGTACTTACCTATGAAACCTCATGCAAGCCTAAACTAAGAACTTGTTTGATTTGTCTGTATATGCATGCTTGTACATAACATCATAGACATCATGAACATCATATGCATTCACTAACCATTTCAAGGATTTTGGAGATTCATCTTTGTTCTTGTTTTGTAGGATATGGATTTACTTCGTAGGAAAACTATCCAAATCAACCTTGTAAGAATTCCTCCACAACTCAAGGAGCTAGCTTCAAGGATCCCTGAGAACTCTCCATTCACCGAGAGACATGGTCGTCTACTCAACTTGGTCACCTCCAACACAGAGGAGGATATGATGAAGGTTCTCTTCCAGTTCTTTGATCCTTTGCATCATTGCTTCACATTTCCTGACTATCAACTTGTGCCTACTTTGGAGGAATTTTCTCAAATCTTGAGGATTCCTATTCTCAATCAACTTCCTTTCAATGGTATGGAAAGAGATCCAAAGCTAGAAGAGATTGCTCAAGTCTTGCACTTGCACTCATCTGATGTCACAACTCATTGGCAAATTAGAAGTGGTGTCAAAGGCTTCTTGGTAAAATTTCTGTTTGAGAAAGCCCAAAGCTGTTGGAATTCCCTAGACTTGCAAGCTTTTGAGGAGATTGTAGCTCTTCTCATCTATGAGATGGTCTTGTTCCCCAATCCTGACCAACTCATAGATACGAGCGCCGTCAAAATCTTCATGTCACGCAACTCGGTGCATACATTGCTTGGGGATATCTTACACTCTTTTCACACTCGCACAATGAGGAAAAGAGGTGTTCTTATGTGTTGCACTCCTCTCCTGGAAAGATGGTTTATTTATCATCTTCCCCAATCAGTCTTAAAGAATGAGCAAGGTTTGAGGTGGTCACAAAGGTTAATGACGCTTAAACATTCAGATATTCATTGGTGCTCTCGATCCAAAGAGAATGTTATCATTGTTGACCGTTGTGGGGAATTCCCTAATGTCCCTCTACTTGGCATTAGGGGAGGCATCACCTACAACCCCTGCTTGGCTCTAAGACAGTTTGGTTATGCCCGAAGGGATAGCCCATATGATATGCTGATTCAAGGTTTGGTTTTTGACTATGACAACGACGATCAAGGACTTCGCCAGAGATTCATCCGAGCTTGGAAGATGCTAAACAAGGTGGATAGCAAGACTTTGAGACACAAGAATTCCATCCCTCTTGAGCCTTACCTCAAGTGGGTACGAACCCGCGCTCAAAGTATTATGATGCCTTATCCTTCCATTCTCCCAGTGATTATTGAGCCTGTTAAGGAGGGAGAAGTTCCATACACTATCTTACATCCTGACATGCCTACATCACTCGAAGACCTACAAAGGGATTGGATACAGCTCAAAGGAGAGCGCGATACTTTCGAAGCCCAATTCTACGCAAGCGAGAAGAAGGTTTTGGAACTCACTCGGCTACTTCATGAAGAGCAGACTCTAAATACCTACATTGCACCAAAAAGGATGCGCAATATCTTTTTACCTTAGAATTTTGTATTGTTTTTTCCCAAGGGGCATTGATGTACTCAAATTCTATCTTATTAATATAACGTGTGTTTCTTTTTTGTTTTAAAAAAAATTTGAATCTTTAAATCCTTGAAAGCATTGCATGAATACATATCATTCATCATAAACATAAACAGGTCTTTGCAACAAGTTTCCTCATCTCTCTACTGTTTATTTCAGTAAGATGGATCTCGAACAGACCGTCAAAGACCTACAAGCTCAAAACACACAATTTCAACAGTTACTCATGACCTTAGCCAAGGGGCAAGAGGAGCTGAAGACTCTGCTAGAGAAAGAGAAAAAGAAGAAGAAGCCAGCTGGTGTGGTAATCATGGGCAGAAGGTTTCATGGACAAGCTAGAAGGACCTTAGATTTTCCAACAACATCTGATGAAGGGGAAAGAAAAGGAAAAGAAACGGCAGTTCCGTCAGACTCTAAAGAAGAGGAGGAAGAGGAGGACTAATCTGAACAACAATACCCTCTGGCTGATGACAAGTACAAACACCTTGAAGAGCGTTTAAGCGCTATGGAAATACAGAGAGTACGGGGCCTAGATTTTGAAGAGTTGGGGCTGGTGTCAGGAATTGTGATCCCACCAAAGTTTAAAGTGTCGTTATTTGCCAAGTATGATAGGGGTGTCTTGTCCTAAAATGCACCTCCGATCGTATGTCAAGAAGATTCAGCCGCACTCTGCCGACAAAGACTTGTGGGTCCACTTTTTCCAAGACAGTTTATCAGGAACGCAACTTGATTGGTTTTACTAATTAGAAAGGGCCGACATCCACAATTGGGAAGACCTGGCCGCAGATTTCTATAAACAATACCAATATAACGCCGATTTGGCGCCTAGTCGTACTCAACTTTAGAGTATGGCTATGGTTTCCAGTGAGGGTTTCAAAGTTTACGCACAAAAGTGGAGAGATCTAGCCGGAAGAGTGCAACCTCCTCTGTCTGAAAGGGAGTTGGTGGACATGTTCTTGGGAACTCTATCAGGCCCTTTCTTCAATCATATGATTGGGAGCTCCTCTGCAAGGTTTACTGAATTGATTTTAACCGGCAAAAGGGTGGAGGCTGGTATAAGAAGTGGGAAGATTCAGAAAGATGCGTCTGCCTCTACAGTTGTGAGGAAATCCTTCACTGGGAGGAAGGAAGTATTTGATGTTTATTCACAAAGGAATCAAGGAAGAATTGAATGCCGACCAGTGGTGGGGGCCGTTATGATCCCAAAGCCTGCATCCGACAAGCCTAGAAATAACCAGCCAAGGGTGGAAAGGCCAGTCCGGAAATTCACCGGGATTAATATGACTCCAGCCCAGGTTATACCACATCTTCTGAAATTGAATTTGGCAACTTTAAAAGAGGCCCCAAAGAATCCCAATACTGCATCCCCTCATTATCATCCAAATGCCAGATGCGCATACCATTCTGAAAGTCCAGGGCACGACACTAACAACTGTTGGGCTCTGAAGAACAAAATCCAAGACCTAATAGATGCGAAGGAAGTTGAGTTTGATGCGCCTGAGAAACCAAATGTCATTTCCGCTCTGATGCCTAGGCATGGTCACAATGCCAATGCTGTCGAGGAAGATTTATTTGTTGCCACCGTGGATGAACTGTTGACTCTGCTCCCGATCATTAAGTTGAATTTGTTGAAAGCTGGTATATTCCCAGGTTGTAATAAAGACTGTCATGTTTGTCTATCCTCATCATTTGATTACCCTCTGTTAAAAAAAGGTATCCAACGACTGATTGATAACCAAGAAATTTTATTTGAGAATGCTCCCATTTTACCCGTTCCAGTTAAAGAAGTTTCAATCATAACCATCTCCGCCAATCCTTCTAGGGCCCCTAAAGGACCCGTTAGGATTACACCTTCTCAAAAAACTACTCCACTTAAGATCACAATGCCAGAGCCGGTCCCGTACAAGTCAGATAAAACAGTACCATGGAATTATGGTGGAGAAATCTACTACCATGGTATCAAACAGGATGAACTGACTGCCGAAGAAGAGAGCTCCGAAGAGGACAATTCCGACATTAGCAATATTGCCGGAACTAGCAAGATTACCCGTAGTGGTAGAATCTTCTCTCCAGAGATTGCCCCTCCAAAGGCAGTCTTTGGACCCGTGGCTGTTCCGAAGATTACCTCTGCACCAGTGATCATACATGCAAGTGTATCTACCGACAAAGACAACACAATCCCTATCCCTACCAATATTTCCACTACTAAGAATAAAGGAAAAAATGTTCAAGAGGAGCCTGTCCAGACGAAGGCTCAATCACTAGCTATCCCCGAAACATCCAAGAAGGAAATGGAAGAAATCCTGAGGATAATAAAGAAGAGTGATTATAATGTGGTTGAACAGTTGGGGCAAACCCCTTCCAAGATCTTTATGCTAGCTCTGCTTCTGTGCTCTGAAGCGCATGCGAAAGCTCTGGTAAAATTTCTGAAGACAGCTCATGTGCCACAAGAGACGTATGCTGACCAGTTCTAAGACTGTGTGGCCAATTTGACAGCTGATAATGGCTTGGGTTTCTCCGATGCTGATTTGACACCCAGAGGGAGAAAACACAACGAGGCATTACATGTCTCTGTGGAGTGTAGAGGAATGACTCTGGCCCATGTCTTGGTGGACACGGGATCATCTTTAAATGTCTTACCAAAGAAATCCCTTGATAGATTGGATTGCGAAGGGCTGACTTTAAAACCCAGTAATATAATTGTGAGAGCATTTGATGGCTCGAAGAGGATGGTCCATGGGCAGGTGGACATCCCGATAAAGGTGGGAACTCAGATTTTCAACTCAACCTTCTATGTGATGGGCATCTGTCCTTCTTATTCCTTTCTGTTAGGATGCCCTTGGATCCACAATACCGGTGTTGTCAGCTCCACATTCCATTAGATGCTGAAATACCCGGTCCAAGGAAAGATTATAACTGTCCATGGAGAGGAGGAGTACATGATTAGTCATCTGAATTCCTTTCGATATGTGGATTTGGATGGCGAGTTCATTGAAACCCCTTTCCAACATTTCGAGGAGGTCTCTCAAGAAGTAGCGGCAACCAAGGCAGTATCCTCAATTCCCAAGATCACAAGACCTCCACTTCGGATGTCATCTCTAAAAGATGCAAAGGCAGTAGTGGAAGAGGGTGGATGCACCATCTGGGGGAAACTTCCATACATTCCGTACAAATCAGACAAGTTTGGCTTGGGGTTTACTTCAACTTCTCAGAAGGTTGTGCGTCGCGCCCGTGCCGGAGGGCCACCTATTAAGATTAGCAACCAAGGGGTCAATGCAGTAGAAGACAATGAAGAGGATGGCAGCTTGGAAGATTGGATATTTCCTACTGTCAATGGAGGACTTCGCAACTGGGAAGCCAGAGACTTTGTCCCAATAACTTTCATCTCCCATTAATTTATCTTTTACATTTCTGTTGAACTTGTAATATTCATGAACAATTCGTACTTTAAAAACCTTGTGTCTTACCCGAAGCACAATGGTCCATTTGTAAGGGTTTTTATTTCATCATCATATGACATTCAATGAATCATGGACGCTTTTTCACATATAAACCTTTGTGCTCATTGTCTTTCTTTTACATTTTATTGTTTAAAGATGGCTATACCCTTACACACACCCACACTCACAAATGCAGGTACCCCTCCATTACGGATCCCATGGGTAACGATACTTCTATAGCCTTCAGTGACTCTGAAGATCTGATCTACCAAGACGAATACGAAGGTGAGGAAGATTGTGAGGTACCAGGGGAATTGGCCAGACTACTACAACAAGAGGAAAGAGCTATTCAGCCTCATGAAGAGCTGTTGGATACAATCAACTTGGGTACCGAGGAAGATAAAAAGGAAATCAAAGTGGGTGCCAATTTAGAGCCGAGTGTCAATGAGCGTCTAATTCAGCTATTGCATGATTATGTTGAGATCTTTTCCTTGTCATACGAAGACATGTCGAGACTTGATACAGACATCATGGTACACCGTCTACCCACAAGAGAAGATTGTCCACCGGTGAAACAAAAAGTCCGCCGCATGAGACCTGACATGTCAGAGAAGATCAAAGCGGAAGTCATGAAACAGTTCAATGCTGGATTTTTGGCTGTTACTTCCTATCCTCAATGGGTTGCCAACATTGCTCCCGTGCCTAAAAAGGATGGTAAAGTACGGATGTGCATGGATTATAGAGATTTAAACAGGGACAACCCTATAGATGATTTTCCACTTCCCCACATTAACATCCTGGTTGATAATACAGCCCAGCACAAAGTGTTTTCCTTCATGGACGGATTCTCAGGGTATAACCAGATCAAAATGGCACCTGAGGACATGAAGAAAACTACATTTGTCACACAGTGGGGCATGTTCTGCTACAAAGTGATGCCATTCGGACTGAAGAATGTCGGGGCAACCTATCAACACGCCATGGTAGCTTTGTTTCATGATATGATACATCATGAGATAGAGGTCTACATAGATAACATGATAGCCCAATCAAAAACTGAAGAGGAGCACCTTGATCACTTGCAAAAGTTATTTGTGAGGTTGAAGGAGTACAAGATAAGATTGAATCCAAACAAGTGTACATTCGGAGTCCGGTCCGGTAAACTCTTAGGTTTCATTTCCAGCAACAAAGGCATCGAGGTTGATCCTGCTAAAGTTAAAGCGATACAAGAAATGCCTGCTCCTCGTACTGAGAAGAAAGTTAGAGGATTCTTGGGACGCTTGAACTATATTGCCAGATTCATTTCTCACCTAACGTCTACTTGTGAACCAATCTTCAAACTATTGAAGAAAGATCAGGTAGTCAGATGGAATGATGAATGTCAGATTGCTTTTGACAAAATCAAAGAGTATTTACAATAACCTCATGTCTTGATGCCACCAGTCGAGGGAAGACTACTGATCATGTATTTGACCGTTTTAGAGAACTCAATGGGGGTGTGTATTGGGGCAGCATGACGAG